ATCATGGTTATAATGAATATTTTCTTCACTTCTCTTCTACTTTATTCCCGTGGGAAAATTTTTAGAAAAATTTACGATTCAATAAAATCAAAGTACGATTCAATAGAACCAGAGTTATAGTTTACTAAAGTTCAAACACTTGGGATCTATCCTAAAGAGATGGGATTAATACCAAGCTTCTCGATCAATCTTAAATCAACCATTGAGTCGTCAATAAATTTGTTTGAGTCGTAATTTTATACGATTAGATTGTAATTACAAAATGACATTATTGAAAAATCCGCTCCCATTTTTTCTTTTTTGGGGCAAGTTAGTTGTCCCTTGTTTCTACTTTACCTTTTTAAAAAATAATGCTATGCTAACCAAATTGTTGTCCAAATTTTGTATCTCAAATTAATGCTTGTGATTAGATTAGTGGAGTCTACTAACTTCACCAAATATTCAATGGAAGGGATTTTGACACATCACTTGGGATACAAGATCTAGACAATAATTTGTGCAGCACAATTTTATTCTTTTTTAAATATCTCACATATATCACATTGTACCATAAATTTCCCAAAAAAAAAGAAAAAAATAGTCACCTACCCAAACATTAGTCGACACTTACAAATCCTCAGTACTCTGCTGGAGAACAGCTTCCTCTGCTCAGCACCTGTGATTCTTGTTACTAAACACTTACAAAACGGCACCGTTTTGGGCGTCCTTTGTATGCGTGAGGATTAAAACTCTCTATCACCTTTTAGAAAGTGAAGCAACGTATTAAATAAAAAAGGGTAATAGAGAGAAAGTCCTCATCTCAGATGCTCTATTCTGAGATTTTTCAAAAGTGGGGGTGGGAATGTAATTTAAAAAAAGAAAAACTAAATTATGAAGTTAAGAAGAATCTATATGTGGTCATCAAACAACAGTTTATCATTCTACGATAAGAGTGTTAATCAAATTGAGGGTTTTGAGCTTGAATATGTTTAAGTTCAATTTGGATGCGACTAATCAAGTTCAGACTCAGTTGTCAAACTTATATTCTTGGTCAAACTCAACTTAATAGAATGTTATGTACCTGTTTTATATATATTTATTTTATGTAATATTGGAGATAGTTAGCCAGTTAATTGGAGGATATGTTGTAATGGGTTAGTGATAGAGTATTTTGTGGGTAGTTTTATATGTGATTATTATGATAGTGGAGTTATGAATTAGGTTATTTATCAAATTGAGCCATTTGAGGTTTTCACCGAGTTCGAAGTGGGTTTTCTTCTTTTATTTTATTTTTTTCTTTATTTTACAAATCACCCAAAATTGTGTAGATAACATAGAAGCTTGCAAACAGTAGAGCCAAACTCAAACAAAAATTATGCTCAATTTCATAGCAATGTTGTCCAAAATTAAACCTAGAATAATCAATTTCTCTTTAAGAATATCCCCAAATCTATATAATAACCTATAAAATCAAATCTAGAATTTTAAATAACCAAAACTTTATTTTAGAGAAGAGATAGAGAGGTGTGTATAGTGGAGAGTTAATCATCTTTCGAATCGCTGTTGTTTCAAAATAAAATTAAAATTATTTATATATAAGAATCTAATCAAGTTGAATTACACGTTACTTAATTCAAATTCTTCCAAAAAGGAGCAATTTGCAATAAAATAAAATAATAAAATAATGGAGTTTTTAAAGGTTTTTTGAACTCTTTATTAAAAATATAATGATGCATATTTTTTTAATGGTAATATAGTCAATAAATTTTTTTATAGAAATTGATATTTATACATAAAAAATAGATAACTAAAAGAGATTTCAGAAATAATTTGGAGATTTAAATACGTAATAATATAATGATAATTTAGATATTTAATTGTAAAAAAATAGAATGGTTTTTACAAATTTTTTTAAGTGTAAAATAGAGATTTAAAAAAAATTCATGTTAAGATACTTTTATTAATAATATAGATACAAATAAATTACTGTTTGCTTAAACATTAGCAAGTTAAACATTTAAATATTTTCACTTGTAATTAAAGTAATAATCTTGGAACTTTTTTGTGTCATATTTTAACACCTACACTACACGATGCTTAATTCAACTTGCTCAAAAAATGAGCTTAAAAATCATATAAAATTCATGTCAATTTACAATTTGATCGAACCTATAATAAACCAAGCCCAATTCTAAATAGTCCAAGCTGCTTTGATCCTTAAATAGTCCAATTCTACGACACCCTTGTTGTACATATATATATTTACAAAATGTTTTTTTTTGTTAGATTTTGAAGTTAAGACATGTCTGTATGTAATCCTAAAACAAGAGTAATGCTATTTAGATTTAAAAATTTGACCTAATGACATGATTTTATTAAAATTATTAGATTAACACCAAGTTTAATGTTTGATTGAGTTTACAATCAATCAAAAGACTATAATGGTCCCCACTCCCCTTCTACTTTATTCTTTGAAAAAAAATTACTCTTCAATAAGAACAAATTATAATTCAATGAGGGCAAAATTACAATCCAATGAAGTTCAAAAACTTAGGACAAAATTACAATCCAATGAAGTTCAAAAACTTGGGATCGATCCTAAAGACTTGGGATTAATCCCAAGTTTTTTTGATCAATTGTAAGTCAACCAATTGAGTCGTCTCCTTAAACTTATTTGAGTCGTAACTTGATATGATTAAGTTGTAAATCCAAAACGTTGTCATTGAAAATTCCCGTCCCCTTATTTTCTTGAATAAGTTACATTGTCCATTCTTTTCCGAAAGAGCCTGGAAATGTATAGCCTATTACTTACTTTTAAATTACTTTTTTGTTCTATGTAAGCAATGACTCAATTTGAAGTTCAATCCCAGTGGATCCTTTGTTGTATGTTGGATGAGAAAATTTCTAGATAGCTTCCCTTCAAAATTATTGCTACAAAATTAAAGAACAACATGGTACCATGGAAATTAACAATAAGAACCAAGTTGCCAACTTGCATTAAGTAAAAATATAGTGCCTTTCAAACTTTTATCTAAATAAATATTTGCCTGGTTGGACAACCTTTCACTCTCAACCAAAAAGTTTGTCCAACAAGATTTGTTTTTGTTATGCTCTCTCACGAGCAAATGCAAAGTAATTTCTTTTTTCATAAAAAATAATAATCTCATGCACAAAACTCCTATCATTACAAGTTCTCGAAAGAGTTACATATACGGATTTTATCCCGTATGTTTAAAAGTTATCCCCACAATGCAAACTCATGACACGCAAGTCATAATAAAATAATTTTATTGTTGTATCAAAACCCACCTTCTCTTTTGAATTATATGGATCACTCTTTAGTAGGGTTGTCAGTCGAATAAACCTGAGCTGAGCTTGAAAATCTTGTTTCTTAATTGAACTTAAAAAATTGTTTAAGTTCGACTTGTTTAAGAAACGAGCCGAACTGGAACGAGTCAAAAATAAGTTGGGCTCGAGCCGAGCTTGAATATTTACACAAAAACGAATCGAGTCTGTCAAGTTTGACCCGAGATTTGTAGAGTTGTTTTCTAAATTAGTCTAAAAACTTGTTCAAATTCGGACTCGTTTAAAAAAAGAACCGAGCTTGAACGAACTAAATCCAAGTCAAACTCAAGTCAAATTCAAGTAGCTCAGTTTGATTAATAAGACTACTCTTTAGGAAGACAAATGCTATTAGTTTCATTTTTGGTCCATTTTCCATACAAACAACTTCTATATAATCTTGCGTAAAATATTTAAAGTACAACTCATTGATGCAGACAATTGCATTATTTATGTTATCGTCTCTTTCAACCTCAGTGTCAGATACAGGTCTCAAATTTAACCTAAAAAATAAAATACAAATTACATAACACTTTGGTGAAAGATAATTCATTAGTTAGCTGCTTAATTTTGATAAAAAAATTTCAATAGGATTATATTAGCAGAAAAATATATATGCACTCTTATTATAAAAAAAATTAAAATAAAAAACTCGGGTTAAACTCGAAGGCCCTAAATTTCATTTGGGGCCCTAGGCAGCCACGTAATGATTTGGGATTTGTTCGAATATTAACACGGTGCTTATAAATTTGAAAGTTGTTCACCGTGCATGGGTCGAAAGTCTATTGAAATTTATGTTAAAATTTCTTGATTTTGGTTAGCATTATTTTTTATTCCAGTCAGCATCATATAATTAAAATTTTGAACATTGCTGTTAACACAAGTTTAATGTTTAACCAAACTATGCAGAGTTTGGTTAAACGTCTAGTTCTGTGCAGAGTCATCAAGAGGAAAATGAAAAACATAAACATAAAAACATTAGTCTACCAAACAATAATATATTCCCCTGTTGAAAAAACCACCAGAGTTAATTGTTCTGGAGGTCTCTAAAATATAGCGTTTATCTTATTTTAATCTTTAATATTTTAATTGCATCATTTTAGTTTTTGAAATATTGAATATGTTTTTATGTAATTTCTCAAGCAGATAATATCCAAATTGTTAATAATTTTTTATTATAATTTTGTCACATGATACCTAAATATTAACAAAAAATAATTTAGATATCTATTGACCAAAAATGTATTATATAGATAATTTTTGACCAAAATTATGATAGCTCAAAATTAAAACTGTGTAATTTGCTTAGCCCTTAAACCAAAATTTAGGTAAAAATTTGGTCAAAAATTATCTAAATTATTTTTTTGTCCATATTGAGGTATTACGAAACAAGTTTATAATCAAAAATTATTAATAATTTAGACATTATTTGTTTGAGAGATTACATATAAATATATTTAATATTTCAAAGAATGATATAATTAAAATATTAAGAATTAAAATTAGACGTATTTTAAATTTTGAGCACCTCCGGTGTAATTAACCTTTTTTTTTTTTTCTGTCATCTCATAGGCTTTTCGGAGGCCTTAATCAGTACCTGTTGAAACCCATCCTTCACACACCTCCATTTTCTCTGTGTTCCTCTTGTTCCCAATCCATCTCCCAAAACCGAAAACAAAATGGCTATTGTAGAAATTTTTCTGGGCGCGTTTTTAGCTGTGCTATTCGAGAGATTGGCCTCTCGCGAGCTATTGAGCTTTGCTCGCAGCGTCGGAATTCATACCCAGGTGATGAAATTGCTCAAAGTGCTGAGTACTATTAAAGCGTTGCTCAACGATGCAGAGACTAAGCAAATAAGTGACGAAACTGTGAATCTGTGGCTGGAGGATCTGAGGGATCTGGCTTACGATGTGGATGATCTTGTGGACGAGATCGAGATAGAAGCTTTGGCCCATAAATTGAAGACGGAGACCGAAGCAGCAGATACCACCAGCAAGGTGAAGGTACTGAACTTCCTATCTACTTCTTTGACTGATTTCCCTAGATATATTGAGCTCAAATTCAAGTTGGAGCCCAAGATTGAGGAGATCGCTGTCAGATTAGACGATATTGCACAACTAAGAGATGTTCTGAGTTTGAGAGCTACTCCGGAAGCAGGGTTAAGCAAAAGCAGAGAGAGATCGGAAACAACTTCCTTGGTGGTTGAATCCCATGTCTGTGGTCGGGAAAAGGAAAAACAAGAAATACTTGAATTGGTGCTCAAGGATGAATCGAATAATGCTGAAGCACGCGTCATTCCAATAGTTGGTATGGGTGGTGTGGGCAAGACCACTCTTGCTCAACTTGTCTACAATGATGAGAAGGTTAAGGATTTCTTTGATACGAAAGCATGGGTGTGTGTTTCTGAAGAGTTCGATGTATTCATGATAACCAAAATTATTCATGAGGAAGTGACCGAGCGAAGTTGTAACTTCAGCAACCTCAACAGGTTGCAAGTCAGTCTCAAAGAGGAACTTTCTCGAAGAAAATTTCTTATTGTTCTGGATGATGTTTGGAACGAGAAATACGAAGATTGGGATCGCCTTCGTCCTCCTTTTCTAGTTGGGCTACCAGGAAGTAAAATTATTATTACGACTCGGAGTGACCGTGTTGCACGTATCATGGGTTCTGTTTCTCCTTACCCTCTGAATGTTTTGGCAGAAGACGACTGTTTGTCTTTGTTGGCTCAACATGCGTTGGGTACAAAAAATTTTGATGACCATCTAAATTTGGAAGCAATTGGCAAGGATATAGTCAAAAAGTGTGGACGTTTGCCTTTGGCAGCGAAGACACTAGCAGGCCTTCTGCATAATATACATAGCCCAGATGAGTGGAAAGCTGTACTGAATAGCAAAATCTGGGAGTTATCCGAGAACAAGAGTGGCATCCTTCCAGCTCTGAGATTAAGCTATCTTCATCTCCCTTCTCACTTGAAGCAATTGTTTGTATATTGTGCTATATTTCCGAAAGACTATGTGTATGACAAGGATGAGCTAGTTTTGTTATGGATGGCAGAAGGATTTCTGCAACAATCAGAAGAAATGGAAGTGCTAGGTGGCAGCTGTTTCATGGAGCTATTTTCAAGGTCCTTCTTCCAACGTTCAGGTGGCACCAAATCAAAATTTGTGATGCATGACCTTTTGAATGATCTAGCTCAATATGTTGCTGGAGAAACATGCTTTAGGTTGGATGATAATATGGAGGGCAATGAACGGTGTAAGATTTCTGAAAAAGCTCGCCACTTGTCATTCATTCGCCTCAAATATGAGGTCTATAAAAGATTTAAGGCATTTCATGAACTTCGGGGTTTGCGGACTTTCTTACCGCTGCCAATTTATAAGTCACCTAGTTGGGAACGCTTCTATTTAAGCAATAGTATTTTGGTCAACCTACTACCAAAATTGCGGTGCTTAAGAGTCTTATCTTTGAATGGGTACAATATAAGTGAGCTACCCAACTCGATGGGGGATTTGAAACATCTTCGGTATCTGAATTTATCTCAGACATTTATTAAAAGGTTGCCCGAAACGGTGAGTACTCTCTACAATTTAGAGACATTATTATTAAAAGATTGCCCCGCACTCTGTAAGTTGCCCACCAACATTGAAAATTTGGTGAACCTGCGCCATCTTGACATTCGAGATACTCCAAAATTAGAAGAGATGCCCTCAGGGATTGATAGATTGAAACATTTGCAAACATTGCCAAAGATTCTTGTTGGCAAAAATAGTGGATTTGGACTCAGAGATTTGAACAACCTAGTGCTTCTGAGAGGGATGCTTTCCATTGCAGGGATAGAAAATGTTACGGATGTGCAGGATGCAAAAGAGGCTAACTTATGTTGTAAGCAGGATATTAATGAGTTGGAATTTAAATGGAATAGTGACATTGAAGATTCTCAAAATGATGGGCTGCAAGTTAGTGTACTTCAAATGCTACAGCCACATAGAGAATTAAAAAGCCTTACAATTGAATTCTACAGGGGCATCACATTTCCTAGTTGGATTGGGGATCCATCATTCTCTAAAACTGTGTATATTAGATTTCAATGTTGTACAAAATGCGAGTTTTTACCACCCCTTGGCCAGCTACCCTTGCTCAAAGAACTATACATAGGAGACATGCATGCTGTGAAAAGCGTGGGTGCAGAGTTCTATTACGGTGGTAGCACTTCGGAGATTCCATTTCCATCACTTGAGATTCTGTCGTTTGGCGAGATGCCAAAATGGGAAGAATGGTCTTTTTCTTATGGTGTTGATTTTAAAGGACTTTTCCCTCGCCTTTGTCGGCTTATTATACGCAATTGTCCTAAATTGGTGAGTGTTCCACTTTTAAGACTTCTCTCTCTTGGCAATTTAGAGATAACAAATTGTGATGAGGCTGTGTTGAAAAGTTTTACCGAATTACCCTTATTAACCACATTGAATATTGAGAATATGCCGGGTCTAACTCATCTGCCGAAGGAGTTCATGAATGTGTTGGTGTCACTTAAAGATCTTGCAATTGCAGAATGTCCCCTGTTGGTGACTTTGTGGCAGAATGGGCTTGCACCACAAAACCTTTGCAACTTGTTTGTAAGATTTTGTGAAAATCTGGAGAGATTGCCTTATGACCTGAAAAACCTTACATCTCTCCAGGAGGTGTACATCCATTATTGCCCAAAGTTTGTCTCTTTTCCTGAGGACAGTCTCCCTCCCACGATTAGTCGTCTTGATGTTCAAGAATGTGATTCTCTGGAGTCCATCCCTAATTGCATCGCTCGTCTTGAACACTTGACCCTCAATAATTGCTCCTCTCTAAGTTCTTTCCCAATAGACACTCTTCTCTCCAAGCTTAAGTCAGTTTACATTGAGAATTGCGGGAATTTGGAGTGTTTTAAAGTGACTGTCGAACAGAGCATCATGTCAAGAAACTTTGGGATCAGTAATTGGCCCAATTTGGAGCGTTTTGTCGTATACAGACAAGAATTTGGATGTCGGTTGAAATATCAAATCCCCCACTCACTCTCAGGGAGTGGTTTGCTCACTCCCAACTTAGTAAGTTTTCAAATTGATTGGTTTGAAAATCCCTTTTACTTTCCTAGCCAGAGTCAAAGCTTCACTTTCCTTAAATCACTCACTATAAGTAATTGTAAAAGTCTTGGGTCCTTTCCTGACCAGAATTTGCCCCCCAACCTAGAAGAGCTATGTATCTGCAATTACGGAGAACTAAAGCCTCTATCAGAGTGGGGCCTGCAAAGACTCTTCTCTCTTGGGAGTTTCACCATGGCTCGTGTATATCCACAGCTACTTTCCTTTCCTGAGTCGTGTTTTCTTCCCGCTACTCTAAAATCCCTTCATATTTTTCGATTTTGGAATCTAAAGTCTCTCTCTAAGGGGCTTCGAAACTTGACCTCTCTTGAGCGTCTGCAAATCAACAATTGCCCCAAGTTTGAGTCTTTCTCTGAGGGGCTTCAAAACCTAACCTCTCTTGAGCATCTGGAAATCGAGAATTGCCCCGAGTTGGGTTCCTTGCCGAACGAAATGATACTTGACACGCTTTTGATCCTGCACATACAGGGATGCCCACTTCTTGAAGGACGGTATTCCAAGGAGAATGGAGTAGATTGGCCCAAGATTGCTCACATCCCCAACGTTCACATTCGTTATCGCAGGTTCCTTTCACGTTGCATTTCTTTCCTTTTAATCTGCTTGGCTCGGTTTTCAATTTGTTTTATGGTGAATTTCACTTTATACCCTGAAAGATTTAAAAACTTTTACTTTGTACTCTCAAAAATTATATTTTTCACATTACACCTAGAATATATTAAAAGTGTTGTAATATTATCTTTTTCGTTAGCTTTTGTTACTAATTCCGTCAATTTTAATGTGGTGATTTTTGACATAATAAGCAACGGAAGCTAACAAAAAGATCACGTTACAATAGTTTTAATACATTAAGAGTGTAATATGAGAAAATTAATGTTTGATGTGATAATATAAAAAATTTAATCTTTTAGTGTGCAAAATGAGAAATCTTAAATTGTTTGGGGTGCAAACTATAGTTCCCCCTCTGTTTTAATCAGATTTAAGTTTATAAAGAGAAAAAGGAAACTTACACTTAGCACCAAGACTATTGCCCAAATCTCAGTTGCCCCCTCTATAATCAATTTTTTCATATTACCCCATATTAATTGGTTTCACATAGCCCCAAACCCCAGTGACGGTTAACTTATGAATGGAAAATGACTAAATTGCATGACCCTTTATTGCCACCCCCTTTCTCCCTACCTACTGTTAATTAGTAGTTACACATTGCTACAAAATTCATTGGCTTGTATGCATTTTCCATCTGAAACAAAACGAACCTTTGGCTTTGGGACTATGTGAAACAAATTCAAGCAATTAAAGGTTTGTTTTTTCCTTCTGAAATGGAAGGAATTAAAGGTTCAATGTGAAAAAAATTTATAGTAGAAGAGACAATGTGAAACTAGGGTCCTAATTTACAAGTGTAATCTATCCAATTGAAAATAAACTAAATACTTATTTTGAAATGTGAGCAACTATCATTCAGTATGCCGCTAAATTCCTTATTTGTATTGGTGTTTACAGATAGTGATGAAGCATGTTGGAAGTGGCAACTTTCTTAAATGCCAACCACCGGTGAGTTCGATTTGAAAAGTTCTTGTTAAATGTTTGCTTGTCATTGTTTTTTCTATTCTCCTGTGTGATACTATTGTCTAGAGTGCTATATATTCCTCTTTGTAATTATACAGGGGCATGTAACTGCCAACTTGATTTGTTTTGCTTTGTGGTAAGTTGCCAACTTCTTCTTGTAATACTTCAATAGTATGAAGATTGTAATTTTACAGTGCCTTGTTTAGCTATTGAGTAACTCCACAATTTTATTTTATTTTTTATGATCTTTGGAACTATTATTTATTCATTGTCATTGAAAGAGATAATAAATGTGTAAATAATTTAAAAAAAAATGAGAAACAACTAATGTGGTGTAGAATAATTTAATATTGTAAGATCTCAAGTGGTTGATCTTCCTTAATCTATTATGGGGTGTACTTGATTATACTACACACATATTCCCCCTAAATCCATCCTATCATCCTAATGTCATCCATCAATTTCTGTCAAATTCTATCTGCCACTTACCTTTTCTTTTTTTTTAAAAAAAAATCCTTACTCCTTTACTCTCTCTCTCTCTCTCACCATCTCCAGAGGCAGAGGCACTGCCATAGCTACCACGCCGGAGCTAGAGCCACAACTTCCTCTTCTCCCAGGTATCCCTCTTCTCTTTTTCACTCTCTCTTCACACACACGCAGATAACAGCTCCCAAACTTCCCCTTCTATGAATCCTAACCCCTCCCCCCTCTGCGCAACCTATTCCCTATACACACGCACACACACACACACACACACACAACACAGCACACAAAACACCCAAACCCACACAGAACACACACCCCACCCCATAACCCCATGTCCCAGCACCTGCTTCCTCATCTTCCCTGGCGACCACCATAAACCCACCCCCCTTCATCAAACCCACACCACCACACAATGACCCATCAAGTGTTTGTTTAAATTCCTAATTGAAGTTTGTGCAAATGTTTGACAATATTTGGGTTCGACTCTCTTCAAAGGTGGAGAGGATTTGGAGTGACCTTTAGTTTTTCTGTTCTAGACTTGATTTGGCAAATGGTTACCTTCCTAAAAGACATCTTGGAAATGTTTTTGATTGCAGTACAAAAGAAAAAATATTTTTTCTGCACTTCCTTTTTTGCCCTTTTCGTAACTTTGCATTTAATTCCTTGATTACCAATACTTTAACTTGCTGATTCCAGTAAAGAGAGGTAGCATATTGAACTAAAAATATGAAAGAAACACCACACTTCCTCTATAAAATCACTCTGATTTTTTTTAATTTTTGTTGACAACATGATAGATTGGTCGTTCACATGGAAAATATTGAGGGAGAGAATCTTTTGTGGTTAATGATTCTTCCAATTTTATATTTTTGCCTTTTGTTGAAGTTGTAAATTGTACAGCTGGATAGCATTTGAACTTGAGCACGACTTCATCCATATTGGGATGCAATCAATTATATTGTTACATAGTTTTTTATGCAGTTCAGTCAAATGATTGTAATTTATAAGAATCTTAATATGTCTGGTAGTGTCTACACATTTTGAATTTGAAATTTGGGTGTCATCCATTTACTTGCCACAACCATACAAGTGTGGTGTAGGTTATTGATTTTAAAATTTGACACTTTTTAGTTGAATTGGGCAAAAATTTGGTGCTTTAATTTATAATGATGTTGTGTTATTGGGTTGAATAGTGGTGGGATTCTGATGGTTATATGTTGTGGCTCTTGCGAAAGGAGTGGTGGTATTCTTTTATGCTTGCTATAACTAATATCGCAAGTTGTGCTAATTCAATCAACTTCTGATTTCTCCAATTTAGAAGTTACCACATACAAAATTGATGTCAGTGGTAGAAGTCGAATTGCACAGACGATCAATTATTCCTCACTTTTTTGGCTAATTTTAAAAGGGTACTTTGATTCATTCTTAGTTGTTTTTCAACACTTGTTTTCATTAAATCTCTCCTACAAAGTTAAATTGTTGGTTCGATATTCTTTGAGTCAATTTTATTGGCTCTTTGCAACAATATTGGATTCCCATGTCTTAATTCTACCATTTTGCATTTTTATTTAGTGTAGAGTCGAGAAATTATATTTTCATGATAATGTATTTAGAAATAAATGACTCTTATTGAGTTGGTTTTTTTTGGTTCTTTCACTGCTTTAGATTGAACTTCTTGAAAAAAGAATTGAAAACATATCGAGTTTAATTTCTAATTTTTGAATTGGATTGGTGACTTGGTGGAGTGATTGGTATTTTTATTTTTCTTTCTACACTAATTCATACATTCCAAATAAAAGCTTTTGATAGATTGTCAGGGTGGAAGGGTGCCTACAGTTTTATGAAAGGTGTGAGACCCAATCACACAATTGCATGCGTATTAGCATAATTTTATGGGTTAAATTATAATTATGTGAAATTATTAAAAGGTTAATTAAATTAAATCTTCCATAGTCATGATGTGTGTGAACATGCATTAGATATGTGGATCCCGTTAGTGATGTATTGATGAGACTTATTTATAGAATTTCATGTGTGAAAATACTTAGAAGGTCAATTTTGAAATTATTTAAAAACTTGAGGGGAGGTAAAATATAAAAAGGTGTGTGTGTGAAGTAAAATATAAAAAGGTGTGTGTGTGTGTTTAATATATGTTTTAGTGGGTGTGTGTGTCTGGTTTCTTGGTTGAAACCGTGAGTGACGTGAGCAAGAGAGCAAGGGAAAAAAAAAAAAAGTGTGGGTTTTTTGAGCCATGAGCAAGGAAGGTATGTAGGACTTAATTTAAGCATGAGTTGTAATTAATTTTAGTATATATATATTTGTATATGTGTAGACTATTTTAACATGTTTTAAATTAGTGGCTATGTTAATTTAATCAATGGATTGTTTTGGTTAATTTTAACGGACTGTTTTAGTTTAATTTCAAAACATATTTTTGTGAGTTTAAATTAAGTGTATTAAACATAAATTAGTGGGTTGTTTTGTGTTAAATTAATGAGTTGTTTTATTTTAAGATCAAAACAGATTTTTTGAGAGTATAATTAAGTGTATTTAGTATACTTAAGGGGCTGCTAAGTAAGGGTTCCAAATGGGTATTAAACTAAATGTGAGAAAAATGTAGAAAATGGCAATTTGAGATGTTCGGTATGTTTTCAAGGGTTAGGATGGAATCGAAATTATGGGTGTAAAATGGAGAGGTTAAAGGGTTCAATAAAAGGCTGAAATTACATGATTAAATGTGCGTGTGAGATTAAATATGATGGTTTTAAATAAAAAGGGCGATAGAAATGGGAAATGGGTGTCGGTAACGCCGAAACTTTGATTTCTAAATAGTATAATCACATGTGTCAATTTTAATCCAAATGATATAAAATTTTGCATGCAACATTTTTTAATGATGCTTGATGTGATAATGTGACTTTCAAATGCAAATGAATATAATATTCAGTGCAAAATGTATGAAATGTCGGAAATGCAGTTTTTAAGATTCAGGGTCAAAATGTGAGAAAATGGGCTCCGGTTAATGTGTTTGACCTATTTAATCCTAATTGTGATTAATGTGAGCGATTTTGAAAATTTGGGAAGAAAATCTGATCTCTAGAACAAAAGTGTTAGTGTGTGACTGGATAGTGAGGGTAACCGGAGTTATCGGGGGTACTTTGGGGTACATCATTTTGCATGCATTAGTGCATGATTAGCTATTAAATGTAATAAACATATTGATATTGTAATTACAAATGTGTTAGGTGAAATGAGTGAGACAGTTAGTATTGGAACAGATACGTTGACACCGAAAGGATTTACCGATAGGACCGAAGGGCTGTAGATTTGTATATCTGAGATGGGTGTATATCTTTATATGTTTTGTAAATGCTATTATAAGATGATAGTAAATGATAGAATTTCATAGCAATTCTCCAAGATTAGGTGTTATGTGTTTATGTGATTAAATGATACTTTGTACTATGTATTGTAGAATGTGGCGCACTGTTTGAGACAGTGGCGTCGATGCCTGATCACTGGGCGTGCAGTGGTATGCTTGCACTGTGGTGTTCTCGGGAGATTCGGGAGACACAGATCCATATGAGATCGATTACTTGATGAGGAGTAGTATGAATGTGATGTGACTTGTAAATTTTTTGGAATTAGATTGATGTTGTTGTTTGATACGTGTATTTGCATTGTATCTATCTACTTCAGTGTATTACTATCATTTCCATTTCATATATATCATTTGTACTCATTGAGCGCGTGGTTTAGCTGTAAAACCCGGTAAAATTTGAACTTTTTCGAAAAAAGGGTAAATTAGTAATTTGTCACTATAATGCGGGTTTAAAATCAGTTTTGTTCTAGAGCTCGGATGATGTAACGGACCTCACCGTTGGAATCGTATCGCAAAATTGAGCCACCATGTCCATTTTCGTCGAATTTTGCACATTTTACGAGACAACTAGGTGACGAATGACCTCACGAACATCCACAAAAACGAGTTTTATAAAATTTCCTTAGAATTGGATTAAAGTTCAAATAAAATTAATTTGAACTTAAACCAGGATGTAATGAATCGGTTTGAGACGAAAAACGGACCTGAACAAGTGGGGGCATGTGGCTCGATGTGAGCCAAGTCTTTAAAATTATAAATAGAGTTAAAAATCAAATATTTCAGCAGAAATATCTGTACAATTCAGCCCTTAAACGTGTGGGAGAAAGAGGGAGAGAAAAGAGAGAAAACAAATTTTCTCTCGTCGATTTTCAGAGTTTCGTCGGTCGGAATCCGTCGAACCAAGAGTTAAAGTCGATCACATCGATGAGAGTTACACAATCACACCAAAAACGAAAGATTTCACCGAAGATCCAAAAGGGAGATTTTGAAAAAATCAAGTTTTGGAGATTTTGGTTGGTGTTCTTGAAGTTCTAGCCTTCGATTTACGCTTCAAGAGATAGAGTTCTCTCCTACTCCGGTTCATTTCTAACCAAGAATGTTCATAAGGGGTTGTTTTATGGGCTATTTTGTGGACTGTTTTATGGGATATTTTGTGGACTGTTTTATGGGCTGTTATGCGGCCTATTTTGAGGCTGCTATATGGGTTATTTTGGGGTTGTTATGCGGCCTATTTTGGGGCTATTATGTGGGTATGTTATGTTTCTATATGAATTATGCCTTGTATGGATATTTGATAAATGTCTTAAATGATTGAAGTGTCATTTTGATGAAATTGAAACAACATGCTTGGATGTTGTGGTATGTTGAAATCATATGCTTATGAGATGATTTACATTGGAAATGTAAGTGTTGAAATGTGATAAAAAAAAAAAAAAACATAATCCATATGACATTCATTACACATGGATATGTCATGATTATTGAAATTGCTAATTTTACATCCTTGTATTTTGGGCATGAGGTTGACATCACATTCATGAGCTTAGGCATAAGTGCGGGTGTGTATGCATAGTATAATCAAACACCATTCTTGGTGATTGATATGTGGACTCAAAAATGTGGGATCGAAGATCCAATGGAGTCATATGGTTGCATAAGAAAAACTTGTGTCGGGTATAGCAAGAAGAGTTAGACACTCCCGCGGGTGAAAAACCCGACTATTTGGTTCATACACTTTCCTGAGATAAAATTCCAAAAAAGTGTAATAGCGTGCAGAGCCAATCGGTGTGATTCAGAAATCCGATACCCAACAAAGATACATGATTTCGTAATATAAAGTATTCATTTGAAGGAAAACATCCAAAAATGAATTGGTTTTATAAACACATGGTTTGTATTTCAAAAATGATCATTTGATGTATTTCATCAATGATAAAAGTTTTACACGTGCATTGAATTGTGTGATGGGAGTCAGTGAGGGCTCGGGTGGATGTGCGTGAGTGAGTCTCATCTCATTCCATGGCATGACATGGTGAAATTCCAACATAAAATTTTATACTTTGTTTGGAATGTTGTTTGGTATGAATGTTAAATGTAAACATTGCATATGTATTTAGGTGGGGAGTAGCCTCTGTAGGAATAATTTTGTTGGGTGTTAGCTCATCCTATACGGGAAATATTCAGGTGCGGGATACACACCGGTGGAAGGCTCCCAATCTGAGCCCCATGGATGAAGAAAGCCGGAATGTGGCTTTTGTTTTGGAAGTTTTTGTAAAATTTTGTTTTTGGACATGTAATTATATGGAATTACTTGCAATGGAACTTATATATATATAATATTATTGTGAAAAATCATGTTTTTGCAAAACATTTACTAAGTTTTGTTTTCAGACTATTTTAATAAAATTTTTCATGCTATTATATGTTTACTTTTAAATAGATCCGGTGTGATTGATGTTTACTTTTAAATAGACCCGGTGTGGTCTATGTTTACTTTTAAATAGACCCAGTGTGGTCGATGTTTATTTTTAAATAGACCCGGTGTAGTCAATGTTGTATATTAGACCTCGGATGAGTCGTGTGATTGTATAGTGAACAAGTTGTGTTTTGGGTAGAGCTCTCTGTACAAATGAGACTTTGCCCGAATTTTGTTAAATTAAGGACCCCCGGTTTTTGGGGCATCACATTAGCTCACACCCCTATAGCTTTTCTTTTTCAGGTACTACAAAGGAAGATGCAGACCAGTCCACTGTCCAGTTGATTGAGTCTTGTACAACGTTAATGTGATATCATTCAGGTTGAGTGTCAGTATGATTAATTGCTGGAT